ACAGGAACTGAGGAAAATTTTTTTGCCTTTGCAACATTGCAAATTCCCTCAAGGGATTTGCAAGGGAGTTTTTTAAATTGCAAAAGTAATGAGGAAAATTGCAATCAATTTAGAAACTCAAAAGAGGAACGCTTCACGTAGTTTACCTGTAAACCATAAAGCAACATGTAAGAATGTAAGAATTGGGTATCGTTGACAGAGATAACCTAATTTTATTGACACTCAGTAAGATCTCAGGAAATTCAGCCAATCGTAAAGCTAAAAACTAACCCTTACCAATGACAACATAGTTAGCTATGTCTTCGCAGAGGTCCGTCCCGAAAAATGACAAAATTTGCTTTAAAATTTAAAATTTGTATCTGTCAACATACTGCAAAGTCGAAAATATTGATAAGATTTGGCTCTTTTTTGGCTTTTTTCAAAAAAAATGAAATATGGCCTTATTTAGTAGAATTTGGCCTTCTTTTAAAGGTCATTTGGCTGCCTTTGTGCATGCGCAAAAGCCTACCAACCCTGATTATGTCACGCCGATATATTAAGTCTAATATTAAGTATAGAAAATTATATTAATTCACTATTTTATTAAATTTTGACCATGCAGAGGAAAAACTATACATACGACGTCGACAATATTTTTCGGAAACACAAAAGTTCCCAAAATCTTTCGCAAAACAACATTTTTCCGGAAATTTTCAAAATTTTCAGCTAACAAATCCTTCATTTTTTAAAAATTTTGCAATTCCAGCATGTCAGGGCCGCCTCCCCGCAAGTTGGGCCCCCTTTTTTACTTTTTTGGGGGTGTTAACCCCCCCCCCCCATACTGCCCCCCCCCGCCCCAGGTGGCACGGCCCTGCTTCCGAACCGAAACAAAATTCATATCTGTTTTGTTCTAGCTGTTACAGACAATAATTTAGCAAATATTTTTAATAAACGAAGCTGTGGTTCCGCTTAGAACACAAAAAAACCACAAAGTTTTGTTTAACACTGTGTCGAGGTATGATTTATAATTAGAACTATTCCTAATAAATAAAACACTAACACCTTGTATAAATACTCGGTTGTTTACAAGTATTACAGAGCTGTAATATCAGAGCACATTGCCAGCATGTTTGCCACTGATTCAAGGGTAGGGATGGGCGATACCAGCTTTTTCATTCGATGGGTCGTTCCAGAAAAGATCCATACTCCCCCCACAGAGGAAATTTCTGCTGTCCAGAGGGGAGAAAAAATTGTTTCTGATAATAGTAAATGTATTAGGACATCCGAAGGGGGTAGGGGGGTTAACTTCCTATTTCCTCCGTGGGGGTGGTATGGATGTTTTCTGGAATGACCCAATACAATATTTGCCATTTTTTTCGATATTGATACCGATATCAATATTTTCCCAACTCAAACAACCATAACAACAAAAAGGCTATTTTTAATCATTAACAATGGCAACAATGCTAACAATACCAAACATTGATTTTATAATATATGTCAGTGATTGCAACCAACATATATATAACCAGAAATTCTGATCCTGCCCGAGGACCATTATAGTACCATAGAAAATAAACTACTTTTATATTATTTAAGCCTATTTAGGATTTTTGGTATCATGTTCATCATGAAGCCTCTGGCCAAAATGAAAAATATCGCAGGCTCAGAAGTATCGAAACAATCGATATTTCTTGCCAGTATCGATACTTTTCTTCAGAACCCTAGTATAGTATCGAGTACTTGGTATCAGCCCATCCTTAACCAAAAGTCTCTGTCCAGTAGAAAATTAATTTATTAAAAACTTGTTCCAGTGTCTCTTGCGTCAACCAGTATTTTACAACTAAGCAGGACTGTGAATAACCAATTATAAGCCCACCTAGAACATCTGAGACGTGATGTCGACCCAGCACTACTCTCGATATGGCAACCATTGCAGCCCAGATGAAACCTAACTTGGTGTAAAACTGATTTGTCCAGTAACGCGTAAACAATATTGCAACCATAGCAACACGTGTGCTATGCCCTGACGGGAATGAATACCTATCGACAGAAACGGTTGCAAACATGTCGTCAATGTTATATGCAGGTCGTGGCCGTCGTACAATTATTTTCAGGAACCCAACAATTGCAAGATCAATGATAAGGGCCATGAGTAGATTACAGAAGAATAGCCTCGTTCCGATGTCAGGGTTTTGGTAAATCACATAAAATGTTGCAGTTAGCCATGGAATTCCGTGCCCAGAGTACTCGAGCAGTTTTAGAAATAGTCTTAGAACATGGATTCCAAAATTATCTTCGTCTTTGGCCGGTATAGACAGTACTTGAGATATATATCGATCAAGCTTGAGCAAACTAAATTCCTCTTGTGACATTTTGCAACAAATTCCTGTAGAAACTTCAGTTTAAAGATGAATTTTGGCAACAAGTGACTTGTAATTTCTCAATTAAATTAGAAGAGCGTATCAATAATAACTTTATTCAAAAATAAAGCGTAAAAGCATCGCAGAAAATAAATTATTTAAAAGGAACTGTCATTTTCATTTGAATGAATATATCTTGGACTTTAGTCGGGACACATATTTTACCTTAAATGAAGTAATTTGACTCTGGGCTTTAAATTTTATTTTCTATCACTCAAAAGTCGAAACGTCGCTCATTAATTTCCTTTGAAATTTTTCGGTAGGCGTGTTAAAAATATTCCAACTAAAACTGTTAAATATGGCGAAAATGCCAATAAAATACTTAGATAACAATGTATTTTTGCAGTTCTGGTTGCATGCTGCGAGGAATAACTATAACTTGCAACAAGTTTAAAAAAGTTTCAATAAGCCCGCAGTAGTTTAAAGGTGATCTACAGTCCGATCTGCGCATGTGCACAAATGAGCCCACTTTTTATGATACAAACAATTTAACTATGTTTTGAGTTCTTGAAAAGCCTGATTGTTGTTTCTTGATCATTTATTATATTCTAGAAGCTTGAAAATATAAATAGTTGTCGAATAAAGCTCAATATTTTGGACACAAAAATGTAAACAAAGGCTTTGTTTACATACGGACTGTAGATTACCTTTAAAAATTGCAATTATTTTTCGTCGTACTCCATTTTACAAACATTCCTACTATATTACTGTTTCCAGGGCCTATCAGAGGAAGGGGTGGGGGGGGCAAAGGGGGCAATTTGCCCCGAGCCCCAAGTATAGGGGGGGGGGCAAATTTGGAAAATAAAAAAATAATTTGGAACGTTTCTTCATATAAATACTGATGGTTGAGAAAAAAATTTTTAAACCTAAATTTTGCAGATAGTTGTCCAAAAAAGGGTTTTATCAATGTTTTAAGAAGAATTTGTCGGGAAAAATGTTTCACTGTAAAAATAATGGCCCCCGAAAAAAAAATGTGCCCCGGGCCCCCGAATTTCTCTGATTCGATAGGCCCTGACTGTTTTACTAATCTAACAACACATATCAATCTGCCATTAAATTCGTGAACTTTTCCAGTATTTTCCTCAGTCTAGATCTCAGATGACTTCAATTGCTTTGTCCGACACACAGCCCGACACCGTAGGCAAAATTTGCCCGAGGGCGCTTTCCACTATTAACACTGCCAGACCGGTGAGAATGGTCAAATTGTTGAATGAAACACAACTGAAACGTCTGACCTGAAAATTTTGATAAAATTAGAATGAGGTCCATTATCGCTAGATATTTGGGAAACATCGAGCAGATCTTAATTTCCATTAGCCCTATGAGTTACATTAGAGACGGACAAGTCGTCTAGACGAACAAATCGTCTCTCAAAAATCGTCTTCACAGACGCGGACATCAGGGACAACTTGTTCGTCTAAAATTTTGTCCGACTAAAAGACGATTTAGTTTTGCACAATCAGAAAAAATAATCAACACTACAATCAACTGTATATATGTATTACTTTGTAACTATACTCTATTGTTTGATTAACATTTACAAGATTCAAAATTCGTAGTTTTAAAGTTTCCAGTATGTTAGGTGCAATATAGTGAGACGAAATGTAGTTTGGGAATAAGGAGATCAATAAGCGTCTAGTCTAGTTGCAGTTCGGCTGATTTGGAAAAACGTTGGGGCGAGAAAATGTTGCGCCTGGCACGGTTGCCGTTATTTCGGTTTGAATACTGTTGAACATATCTGTAACTGCAGATTGGTTGTTGGTATGGTATATCACTTGTGCTATGCTCGGGTGGTTGTGCCTCCAAAATGCATATGTACCAGCGACGGTATTATCAGTATACATACAGCATGCGGCTGTCCACATGATCTCTGGAACCAAAATTCTATAACCAAAGCCCGAAAAAATCTTCGAATCACCTTGAAAATTACCGAATCCGGCAGAACCAAAAAACTTGGTCTTGGATGTTCCATAGAAGCTTGTAGGAATCACTCCTACTACGATATATATTCTTGCCTCTATCGTTGCCGTTGGTGCTATGTTTTGACAGTTTTTAGCCCATTGAATGAGGGACCCTTCGGCTCTCATCCATCGGTTAGAATTGAAATCTCTTTCTTGTGGCACTACGTTCGTCAAAGTAAATGTATCCTTGACCCTTTTCGCGTTTCCTATCCCGTAACGAGCGGCAATCATGTGTCCTTTGTGTACTTCGTACTTCGAAGTGTTTGGGCATAGTCCGCTACTATCCCAGTCGAGCAGTTGTCCCATGTTATTTTCGTAACAGAAAAAATGGTCGCATGAGCGTTTGAAATCCGCATTTTTTGCCATACAGTCTCTATTTGGTTTAAGCACCGTGTCTATAGTTTGGATAAAAGAGCCACTTCCTCGGTTAAAGGAACCTAAAATATAACAACAAATTCGTTTGAACAATGCAAAATATTCCGTTGGTAATAAAAGCTTGCGGTATATAGACGAGAAACTGATTTCCTTGAAATATTTTTTTGAAAAGTTTCTCAGGTGTGTTTTGTCGATCTCAAAACAGATGTCTATTATATTGTCGAGCTTATACTGTCGGATTTGAGTCCAATCTACAAGTTAATTACGCCAATCGCAAGCGTCAAAAGTACCTTGATCTAATTAAAGAACAGGAAGCATAATATCAATATGATGAAGTCATGATAAATATCCTTGAATATACGTGCATTTGGAGTTTTCAGTCGATCATCAGAAAATTACGATGACATGCTAAGAAGCCTTAAATTTGATGTCCAATGTATAGCATAACGTATGGAAGGGAAAATGGCTGTGAAACTCATTAGATGCCGGAAACAACATAACCTATGCAAGTGCCTATGCAACGAATTTTTACCTCATTTTTTATTGCTTTCCTAAAAGGTACTGCTGGAATGATGAAGAATGACGTTTACAGTTTCGTCATATCTCATCTCATTCTCAAGTTATCACACTTTGTATATTTTGAGTTGTGACGTCACAAGTATATGAGTTGAGATAATGGCAATAACGAGAAACTATGATATCTTGGTGAGTATTTAATAAAATTCAATGAATCTTGGTACACTTAGTGGGTGCTCTCATATGAATATTTTTGGCTGGTCATGTGATTGTCATGGCAACACACTAGTCCCCAGTCTCTTCTCTTCCTTTTCACAACTTTCCTCCTGTAGACCTCTTCCACAGGATGTTTACATATTATAATTGTTTAAACTGATCACAATACCTAGTCTTATTATAGTAATAAGCGAAAATTTCAGAAATTGCTATTTGTTTCGTTGGAAATGGATCATATAGAAATTGGAAGAGAAGGGACTGGGGAAAAGTGTGTTGCCATAATCATATAAACAAGCCAAATTGTTGACATTGTTCCACCCACTAAGTGTACCAAGTTTCATTGAATTTTATTAAATACTCACCAAGATATATAGACATATATATATATATATATATATATATATATATATATATATATATATATATATATATATATATATATATATATATATATATATATATATATATATATATATATATATATATATATATATATATATATATATATTAAGATGAAAATGTTCTAGAGTGTGTATTATATTATTTCCATACCCAGCGACCTTCGAATTACTAGATCGACGCTCTACCAACTGAGCTACACGGTCAGACGGATTTAAGACTGGAAATTATGAAATATATACTGAATGTCATAAACATACTCGTTTATATTAATTCAGCATCGAACAATACTAGTTCTGCAAGTGTTATGTTAATTGTGTTATTGTACACTCTGTAATATGTTAAGATGAAAATGTTCTAGAGTGTGTTATAATTTCCGTCTGACCGCGTAGCTCGGTTGGTAGAGCGTCGATCTAGTAATTCGAAGGTCGCGGGTTCAAGACCCAGCCGCGGCAGACAACATCTTTCTGCTTGCGCTGGGTATGGAAATTATATAATACCCACTCTAGAACATTTTCATCTTAACATATTACAGAGTGTACAATTACACAACTAACATATATATATGTATATATATATATATATATATATATATATATATATATATATATATATATATGATATATATATATATATATATATATATATATATATATATATATATATATATATATATATATATATATATATGAGATTGTAGGCAGCCCCCTTCAATAGCCCTAAGTCTTAATTAAAAATTACACATGCGTGTTGTATTTCTTCGTCCCGCTTCTTGCGAATAGCATACAAGAAACACTGGATTCTGATTGGATAATTGTCGCTCGCGCATGTCCCGTTCAGCATTCTTTGGTTCATGCCATTCTCGATCCGCCTGACCAAAACCCTCGCGAAGTCAACGAACAGGGCAGGAAAAACATTTTCCTTCCTGGCAGCACAACCGGGAGCTAGACAATCATGTCCTGCAGATCAGCGGAGTATTTTTGTGCTAAATCTGCATGTGCACAAAGATATAGCTAGTGCTCTAGCTGACCATGGTTTTAAATTCAAGGAATGTCTGTCAACCATGTTGTTGCGCCCATAGTGGGACATGGGTGTTAAGGTTTCCTTCAAATTTTCAATAGCAAATCTTTATTCAAACGAATTTCCTGATGCTGTTTAACATTTCCTTGCTCGTCTATTTTTCCACCCCTGTCAACGAAGCTAGTTTACGTTAGCAAATTCCGCAATAAACACTCTTTTGATGCTCTTAAATGTGAAATAATCACACAACGCCTTTAGCACGCAAACTTACTTTCCTACGGTGAGCACATATTTAAATCGCGTGACTTTTGAGCGACGTTAACGTGACGTAATATTCCCGCGAGACTCGAATACCTGAATATTTACTTCCGTCTCAGTGAACTATGAAGTGGTGAGTGGCAACATAAACATGTCGGTGTTTAATGCACAACATTATATATCCGTGTTTCTCATTTTCAATGTTATTAAACATGGAGTAACTCAACGTAACTGCAGCTCTTCGTCCGTTGACTGCGGTAGTAAACGTTGTTGTAGAGTGAGTAACATGCCTTTGATCAAAGTCTGTAGCAATGACTGTCTTGGCAAAGCATGTGTGAATGTTCATCATTGTGGTGGTGATTACAGC